TCACTTTCCTTCTTATCGTAGAGGCATTTAACAGCTCCACCTATATAATCACTAATGCACCAATCAATGTACAGGTTTATATTTGTATCCTCCCACAGAAAGCTAGTAACAACCAAACGACTACGCGGTGTAGGTGGCTTAATTGGCATTTGGGCGATTCGAGCAAGGTTTTGACTAAAGCGAGGGAAAATCGTTACTTGCTACTATTGCACTTCCACCGGCTTTGTTTCTCATGCAAAGAATTGGTTGATTGGTTGACAAAGATAAAAATAAGATAAGATAAAGTTTCGAACTAAGAACAGTTGGAGAAAATTCTTCATTCTTGATCGATCAGTCACCGTGTGCGGTCGTGTCTTGCTGAGCTCTGGGTCTTGCCTTGCCCGTTCTGGACTGCCTCCTATTTTTCATGCTTGGCAGTTGTTCGAATTATTCCTGTCGTCTCTAAGTGCTTCCTGAGCTCCTAGCTGTATTCCTGACTGTAATCTGTATTCATTGCTGTCTTATACTATGGCGTCTACAGCTACACCGTCACGATCGTCATCGGTACCGATCAAACGATCAAGGCTGGATTTGTCCCCGCAAGCTCTCGGAACTGCTGAAGGTTTGAATCAGTTGTATTCAGATGAAAACGTGCCAGAGTATATTAAACTGGTAATTGGTATGCTGATCGATGCGAAAAAGGAAATTGCCGAGCTATCCCGTCAGTGCCGGAATGTGATCGCCGAAAACAAGGCTTTGAGGGAGGAAAATTCATCCTTGAAGAGTCAGATTAGTTCGCTGTTGTCTAATAAGTCTACTTTCGATTCGATGCCATCCAACGTACGCCCAGATCCTTCGCAACTGGTCGCCACCACCCCGTCGTCAGTAATCGATCCTGATCTTCCACGCTCAATCGTTATAGCAGGCGTTAAGGAGAGTCGATCTATGCATGCAGTGGATAGGGTTAATTATGACTATCATTGTATCTGTTCATTACTGAACTTTTTGGGAGTTGAGTGTCTACCAGTTACAGTTTATAGAATGGGAGTTCCCAATCCGAATAGACCAAGGTTGATTAAAGTTGTATTACCATCAAGTATTTTTCAACGACAAGCTGTAAGGAGGGCGCCGCGTCTGCGCTTCTTCTCCGAAAAGGGGGTATTCCTCCGCCCCTCTCTCACAAAAGAGGAGAGGGAGCGCAGGCGCATAGAGCGTTCGTCCAATATTACTCCAGCTAACGGCAATGGTTTAACTTCTACTGTAGCTTCTCCAGCTGACGCTGTAGTTGTTAATCAGACTTCTGTTCCTAACGATTCGTCTGTGTCAAAGGTCAATGAGGGAAACCTCTGAAAAGTCTTCGGAGCATTGGTATCAGTGCTAAGTGCATGATGTCGAACATTAGGTCATTTACAAAAAATATAAATTTGGCTATCGCTCAGTTACTTAGCAGGAATTATGACATAGTCTTTCTGTCGGAAACATGGTTGAAATCCAGCATTGATGTGTGTTCTCTATTAGGCGTCGTGAATTCCCAGTATTCAAATCTCAGGTGTGATCGAAGCCACAAAAAAGGAGGAGGAGTTATGATTTTGATCAAAAATACAATACCTTTCAATCTAGTTTTTAAGGAGTCAGTTAGGGATGCTTATGAAATCTTGGTTGTTGACGCTTTTTTCAATTCAATTTGTCTTAGACTTATACTAGTCTATCGAACCCCAACCTGTCATGCACTTGAGACTTCGAAGTTACTAAAAGTTATAAGTGATTTCACTTCAAACAATGGTCCCAGCTTAGTGCTTGGAGACTTTAATATGCCTGACATTGATTGGCAGCTTGGAAGTTCAAGCTGTCCACTCTTCTCTAAGGAATTCATCGAAATAGCTAGTCGCACAAGCTTGTTCAATTAGTAAATGAACCGACCAGAGATAAATCCTGTCTTGACCTCGTATTTTGCAATTCATGCTCACTTGTTCACGAGCTCAGGGTCCTCCCACCTATAGGCACTAGCGACCATTCAACTATTGAGTTTCAGATCAAGGTTTCGTCAGGGCCCAGTAGAATTTATGAAGCTAAGGATTTCGCTAAAGCTAATTTCAAAGCTATAGGAGATTATCTCTCGGATATTGACTGGATCGGCTCCTTTGGGACCGTCGACTCCGTAATGATAAGTCGCCATCGTTCTTTGGCGATTCGTCTGGTACACCCATTGCAGGAAAGGTTGTCCCATTCGGAGAACTTAAAGAGCTCCCGCGACTTCTGCATTATCTTGAACGTATGATTTCTCGCCGCAATAGTCTTTGGACCAGCGCTTCCAAATCAAACAGCCAGTCATCGTGGGCTTCATATAAAGCATACACTCAAAAACTTGACAAGTCCATTGCCAAATACTATGCAAATTTGGAGGTTATCTAAAGTTGATAAATTCAAAGGACTCTGCAAGATTGTATAGGTACATAAATTTGCGACTGAAAGAAACCAGGACTATACTACCCGCGCTCATTGTTAACAATACTTGCTTGGCTGTAAATGACCATGATAAAGCAGAGCTCCTTGCTCGTAACTTCCAAAATTCCTTTTCAATTCCGGGTCTTTGCCTAAATAAAAGTAACACAGCTATCAAATATAGTCTAGGATCCCTGGAACTGCAAGAAGTCACAGATGTTCGCGACCTTGGTGTCAAGTTTGATAACAAGCTTGCTTTTGATATCTATTACAAAGAAATTGTACATAAAGCAATGTGTAGAGTATATAATCTCTTCAGAGCTGTTAGAGCTAAGGACTCCAAGACGCTAATCAGAGCTTATAAAAGTTACGTCAGGCCGATTTTGGAATCGGGAACAACTATTTTCTCTCCTCACAAGAAGAGGGATATACTCCTTTTGGAAAGCGTTCAAAGCAGTTTCACGCGCAAGTTGGCTATGCGATGCACTGGTCTGGGCTATCAGTTTATTCCAGACAGTGTTGTGCGTCGTCGTATTTACTCAATTCCTAGTTTGCTCGTCCGAAGAAAGATTAACGACCTTGTCATGGCATTCAAAATCCTTACCAATAAGGCTTCGGTCAACTTGGATGACTTTTTTATTCTAAATCAGTCTAGAACGCGCGGCTGTGCTGTGAAAATCAGGCGTCCGGCAGTTAGAACTCAAATCCGAGCCACATACTTTTCAATCAGAGTGGTAGCTCTTCTTAATAAGATACTAACAGAGGATGTCATGCATTTTTCACTTAAAGTTTTCAAAGCTTTAGCAGAGAAATCAGTGCTTGCAGAGGATTCCTCCATTTCTGGTACCTGATTGTTGTCACCATTCTAATGGAGGGTACACGTTATTTATACAATATTCTCTTTTTGAAATGCACCAAGAAATCCACTTTGATACAGGTTGTTAGTGTCATTTGAGTACAACACAATCCAATCACCTTACAAACGCTAAGATCTGATTGCAATCAACTGACCTCGAAACCATGGAAGATTTCCGCGGAGAATTTTCGCAGTCTAGCGGGCATGCACGCTTGGTTACTACGACATTGGAATAGAGAAGACGTCCACCTAGTAATGGAAGCACCAGTTGCCCAATTTTGAAGGCAGGGGTCGCGATAAGATCCTGTAAAAAGATTATCTCTCTGTGAGGTGCGAGACTTCTATTACAGGAGTGAAAGTATTTATCACATCATCTCATCATCCTTTTTCAGCGCTGGCCCTACCATCATGGCACAGGATTGTATTGCTTCCGTGCCAATTCCCATTTTACGACCATTTATCAGTCGTTATCACGTTCTATCAATGTTTCCGCCTAGGTCTTCAGTGTTCACATTTTACAGTTCAAAAACTTGGCAGAGCGAGCAGTGTAAAGATAGCGGCGCTTTATCATTTCTATTCACCTGCATAGTCACTACAACATACACCATATCACTCTCCTCCTACCCACCCACAAAAGACTGAGTGCAACGCATGGGCTGTCAAGTCAAAGTGGCCAAAGGTAGCCAGAGCCGTTCGCCGAGATCTGCTTACCCAGCTTTTGCTAGTGCTACGACTGCCATCCCACTCATTGTCAGTATCCGTGAAAGTTCGATGCTCGTGGTTGCTGACGTGCAACGTATATACTTAGTCGAGTGACGCAATAAAAGTCTTATTATCTTGTTGTTGCACCTTCAGGAAACGTGCATGTTTCAGCGCTGGAGAGTTTTTTAAGCAACAGTCTCCAAAGGGTTGTTAGCTTCCACACTCTGAGGGGACTGCACAATGGCCGATTCAACCGCCCAATTCGAGCCGTTTAGTTCCTTATTCGCGGCTTCTAGGGAGCGGAGAGGTTTTTTTTTCCCTCACACTTCTTATGCTCTTGACCAGGGCTAGCGCATCGATACACGCCACTAGTGCGGAAGGTAATAGCCCAGTTGGGGTTGTTGCTTGAAGGCTATCATATAAGGTAATTGGATTAATTTATGCTTCAAAAAACTTTTTTAAGTCCAACCAAGCCTCCCACCCATCCGAGATCGTCAGCTGGTACCAAACTCGCCCAAGGGGATGAGAGCAGTGACCTGCATTTCTCGCAACTCACTGTATAGACCGAATAGCTCTCAAAATGCCCCACAACGATTCGAATTATAAGTATTGCTTGGCCGATCTAAAAGCGGACGATTCTTCCCGAGAATTCAGTTCTCCTAACAACTGTGTACCGCTTTTGTCTTAGGTGAAACCTGTTCTGATTGAAGCAATGATGATGTTCCCAGAAAACATACCAGAAAGTTGGGGAGGAAATTTTTATAACAAGAATGTCACTGCCAAGCTAGCAGAAAAGAAGGATGGGCGCAAGAAGGGTGGCTCCTCATCGACGAGGCCACGAAAACCCAATTCAAAAGAAAAGAACATGAGCCAAGAACATCAAGGAGGGCCGAAAGATGCTCAAATGAAGAAAACAAGTGCGGAGCAAGAACAACGCGTTGATTATGGAGTAAGAGGAAAGAAAATGAACCAATGCGATAAAGCTGGGAAGGTCCTCTCAAAGGAAGGGATGGTGAAGCAAGAATCGCATGAGAAGCTTGATGAAGCTGGGGGAATGAAGAAAAATGAGAAAGAAGATAAAAAGAATGAGGAACAGCGACATGGCCAGAAAGTGGGAGAAGGCAAAAAAGGAAGTGGAGAAGGTTGGATTTTCCTTTCTGATGTTTAGCCAAAACGCTTTTCCGTGGCATTTAAGCTAATTACGATGCTGATCCATAAATCTCGATACCTTACGAATATTAGCGTCCACGTTCAATATCAAAATCATTATTTCCCTTTAGTACGCATGTCAGGGTAATATAATACTTTGAGACCTTATATGTACCAGGTTTTCACACGCACGCATATCCCGGAATACTGAAGTAGTTTTGTGACCTAATGTCCACTTTGGCAGTATAGAGGCCCAAACCAGATGCTCCTTTTGCTGATTTCCGCTGTTAGCACTCCAATTTCTTTAGAAGCCTATGAGAGCATCCTTCTTTTCATTACGGAGATTAATGACCAAGCTAACACATATTTTGTGACAGAATGGACAATTGAAGAAGACCACTTTGGAAAAGATCAGTGCCGAAAAAGGGAAAATCAGTAAAGAAGATCAACAAAGTGGCGAGGAAAAGTATTAGTCAGTGAAAGTTGGCGTCAAAAATATAGCTCAGTAGCAAAATGCGCCATTTGTGACAGGATCTGGAAGTGAAAAGAACCATGTCGGAGCCGAATACTACCGGTAGCGAGAAAACCGACTGAGGAAGATAATGAGACTGACGAGAAAAAGGTACCATATCGATCAGCATACTGTATGTGGAGGGGAAGGAGGTAATGGTGGTGGGTTGCGTGGGTCAGCTTTATGGGTGTAGCATGTCAGCGATTCAATTTTGAGAAAGAAAGTTCCACGGTCTGGTGAACGAGAGTGAAATAGTTCTGCGGCCGGCGGTCTACTCTCCTGCGTAAACTGCGCAGCCAGTGCTACTGCAAGTTGGTCGCTACTACTGCTCCCCCTCACCAGGCAACCTATCTCCCCCCCCCTTGAAATAAACCCAATGCGTCGAAAATGGACCGATGAGAGTGTAGTCGGCAAGCACGGAGGGAGGGGGAGAGCTGCCACTGGGGTTCTGATAAGTTCGTTCATCAGTAGCCTCTACTATGTGCTGGTCAATTTATCCCATGTTCAATTCATAATTATGAACGACCTCCAAACATCTATGAAAATTAGTTGATAAACTTCAACAATTCAGAAGAGCAGCGACGTACCGGACACAAAAGAAAGGAAAAACTAGGAAATGCAGATGTTAAAAATATTTCAAGATGACTTCTATACTTGAATTCAGTGCAAGCTTACACTAATTTTTTAATAAAGGTTGCACTGCATTGTTTTAGTTTCATTCGAGTGTTGTTAACTTCGGGGCACGACTCAGGATCAGTTAAAGCGACAGTCCAAACAGGGTTTCAACCATGCGATCCTAAGGGGACCACTTTCTGTGTACTTGACTAGGGCTAGTGGGAACATGCACTAGCCCTAATGACTAGGGCTAGTGGGAACATGCACTAGCCCTACAAAGTACATAGGAAATGTCACTGATTGAAAACTTACCTTTGAAAGGACGTTGTAAGGGGTCTAACGCCGTCAAGTAGGCGATCCACCGAGCCTCGGTACGGCCTGCCCACTTCTGTCGTGAAGAGTGCGTGATTGCTGCGCAGACATTTGCGGTCGTTTTCGGGACTGGGGATTATTTGAGGTGGGTGCGGGACTTTTGGCTCGTCTGGGCTGGCACGCGGCGGTTTATCGCGTGGCGGGATGCGCGGCGATCTTGACGAGACAAGGCTTCGCTGCAATAGAATTCAACGTGTCAAAGCGTGAACAGATTCCAGGTCAAGAGCCCCGCATCCGAAATTCTAGACTTGGGATCAAAATCCTACCTTGACCAGGCGGCAGTCAGTGCTCCGCATTTTACTAAAAGAACCACTTCTGTGCTCCTGAAACAAAAGTTGATTTGTTTTTTTTTGTTTTATATCGGCTCAACTGAGGGAAAGAGTTAAAACTGAAATGCTCATGCAAGTTTTCCGCCTTTGAAGGTGGTGGTCTCTTAGAGCACGAAAACCCCTTTTGCCACAATCTTACTTCATTTTGTTGCGATATTTCGAAATGGCTGTTGTGCTCTGACAACAAAGCTTTCGCTTTAGGAGAATGGAAACAGAACGATCCATAGAATAGGAGCGGTAGAAGTACGAGATGTTAGTGCAAGTAGACACGAGGCTAAGAAGTTGCGCCGCGAGAACCAGTGAATTGTTCTCCGCCCAAAGCTTTTGTGACAGATGTCGAAATTTTGAACGTCCACTGTAAGTCTGAACGTGGTAACACTTTCAGGTTGCTTTCGAATTTCTTACCAGAACAGACGCACTTTTTTGTTCTTTTCGTTCTTGTCGTGAACAATGTCTTAGGCCAACGATTCACGGGCGAGACCATGATTCTTCCGAAAAGGATTAGTCCAACAAAGTATACATGATCTACTACACAAAGGAAATATGTTCTGCCATTGTCACTTATCGTTTCTCGCATGCCTACAGTCATATTACTAGAATTTTACATTTGAATGCCTTTACGTTTTAGTACCATTCCTTTGAAGGGTATTTAAGAAGTGTTCCGCTAACTACGTACTCAGATGCCGACTTATTATTCTACGCAGATAAGCATTTTTGAACTCTAATAGCAAACGCTCATAGAGTTTTGTATAACATGAGCAAGAGTAATTAAATGTACGTTCATTGAACACCCCCCCCCCCCCCCCCCCCCCCTCTCGCGATGGTCATGCCCATTTAGATGGGCGATGCTAGCAACGTTACGCTTCTTCTCCCGAGCTTGAGGAAAAGTCATTGTACTCCCATCTTCCCTTGGAGAACTACGCTTGTGCTTCACGTCGAGATCAGGGCAGGTTCGAAGTTAATCGAGTTCACGAGCTCGATTTACAAATTTGAATTTAGAAACAATGTGCTCCATCGCTGCTGCATTTGCCATGCTCCTGCATCTCTCGCAGGTGAGATACCTTTGTGATCAGTGTACAGCAGCAAATCTCCAGTATGGTTGCCGGAGCCTTTGCCTAGGGTTTTTGCCTCGATCCACATACATCCTCTATAATGTGACTCGAGACTGGGCTATATCTGTTTTCCTGCAACTGCTTCTCTCATCGCAGTGTCTTGAAGCAACGGTACTTTGTGCAGCAAACATCAATTCCATGTTCGGCCTTTCTAGAACCTGGGCTTTTATACTACGTTATCGCTGCGCCAAACAGGTCGTTATGGCGGAATACTTATTGGCCAACGTTCCGACAAATCGACATCTTCAGGCCTTCGAGTCCTCCAGTTCATCGCCATCGTGTCAGCACGATGTCGGACGGTAGGGTTCTTCGCGCGTGCGCTACCATGTGGCGCACACCGTCACAAACGGTAGGAAATCTGTAGACCTACGCTAACAGCACGGTAAAATGGTGTTAAAGCGTGTTTCCGTGTTTGCTTTCTCAAAAGAAGGGGGTCTCTTTGACGACAACTTCGAAATTTTTTCGCTCTGAATCCAGGATGCAAGGAATAAATGCAATCTGTAGAGGACATCTTCGAATAGTGCGAAACAACAACTCTGAGCGAGAAAAGTGACTGGTCCAGGAAAAGGGGTCTGAGATGTGTGCGACCTTTGAGGCACTTCATCCATCAAATAGAAAAGTTTGGAAATAAAAACAAAAGTGCATATGAAAGCTATTGTGAGTTCACTGAAAATTCAGCCGTCCAGGTACCAGGGATATCTGTCACGTCCTCCTTGCTGGTATATACACAGGTATATTTAGATTATAAGAAACATTTACATTACATCAATCTCCCAGCGGCCTCCTCGTGTTAATGAGCCTTGACCAATAAACGGTGTTCCAATACTCTTTATAGGCACAGAAGGAATAACAACATTGCAAACTTGTTTCTCCCACTTCTTTTCTGTTTCAGCTAACTCTGGCTCTCTTCTGCACGTTCAAACAGCTCCCTCCTTCAGCAGAGATAAAAGTTCCAGAAACCCCCTTGAATTCGCCTCATATCAAGGATCACATTGATTCTCCCAACCACGTTATAAAATTTCTCATAAAGCACTGCTTTTTGGAGAACGCCCCGCCCACCGAGGGAGTTGATGTGGGACTTTCTTTTTACAATGCACACCTTTACCCACTTTTTGGCCCAGTTTTCGAGGTGTTTTGTCACTGAAATTGAAATCTTGGTCATCAGTACAGTTCATTTCGACGCACGCCACGCCCTCTGTGGGCGGGGCTCCGCTTAGCTGATGTGTGTTTTGTATTACGTGAGACCCTGCCCACCCATCCCACACTTGACCCGGTCCCTCCAGGCGGATCCCGAGGAGCTAGGGAATTTCGTGACAGACATACAGAACGACAGAAACGACAGAACGACAGACGAAGCGCCTTATATAATAGTAAGTAGGATTGCTTGTGTGCCAAACAGGTCTGTAATGGTGATCCCTTTGTCGGTCAGCAAACAGTTCGACAAATCGACTTCTGCAGGACCTGCGAGTTCATCAGTTCCCAGCGGCCTCCTCGTGTGATGAGCCTCTGACCAATAAACGGGTTTCCATCATAGCAATAATCTTTATAGAATAATAACATTGCAAACTTGTTTCTCCCACTTCTTTTCTGTTTCAGATAACTCCGGCACTCTTCTGCACGTTCAGACAGCTCCCTCCTTCCGCAGAGATAAAAGTTCCCACATACCCTCCGAGTTCGCCTTTCTTCAAGGATCACATTGAAGATTGCATGAAGATGTGCTACGAAGATCCGTCCTGCGTTTACGTCATTTCTTTCAAGGTCAATTTTTACTCCTTATTTTGTGTGGAGAATCAAAAAAGTGTTTCACTCCAATGGAATTGCGTGAATCTGTTAGTTACTGCCACTTTATAACATCAGCTCTCATGACTGCCTCCCTCTCTGTACGACCGAAGCAGGGTCAACCGTCCGTTCGAACTGTTCGAACGAAGGGGTCGCATTTTGGTCGGAAGGGGGTCGCAATTTCGAGGACTGCCAGCCACAGGCGCGTGCGTGGCGTATCCGAGGGCAAGAATTGTTTGTGCAGACCGCATTAGATTCGATTTATTATGCACAGAGAGACAGTTTTAGGCAAATTACAGTGTTTTCTTAAGGAGTAAAGAACAGTTGGATGCATCCCTATGAAAGGTTTGACTTCTCGGGGCTGAAAACAAAGTTCTTTGGAGACCTATTTTTTGGGGACGCTTCTTCCAATGTACTGTGAAACATGTAAGGAAGCAGAAATCTCGTAGTCTTCAAAAATGTCTTCGCCCCTCCCCAACAAGTTCTTTGAAGGAAGTTATTATTGCTGAAAGCTCAAAAACTCGCATGTGCTGCTCAAAAACCTATGGGAACAAAATGTTCGAACGTGTGATTTTCTCGAAAAATGAACTTTGAAAAAACGGTTTGGGCTTGTTAGAAAGAGCAAATCCTGTACTTTCACCCCATGAAAAAAGTGCATCACAGAAATGAAAATGAAGTGAGTTATGGTCGCTGAAAGCCCAAAAACTCGCTTTTGCACGAAAAATGTTCGAACGGGACAATTTTTTGAAAAAGGGGACAATCACTAAACTTTTTATACTGTTTTGTTAGAGAAATATTTGAAGTTTCTGAAACTTTTTACAGATTTCCAAAATGTCGCATACGAAAGATTTTATGGGCCTTCAAAGTTGAAGGTGCGCCTTCTTAGAATTTTGGGTTTTCCACTTCTAACAGAAGTACTTTCCGGAGAGTTAGGCAATCCTTGTAGTTTTCTGGAAGCGCACCTCAGGCACAATCAAAATCTACCTCAACAAGTCAAAAAATACGTCCCAAGAAAGTTATTCCCCTCTAAAATTTTTTCTTCGCCGCGTCCCGTTCTTCCAGCGCCCGGGTGATACCTGCCGCGCTCCAAGGCTGACGCCGCAATGCAGACGCTTTCTGGCGCAACGCGATTCATGTCTAGCGCTTTATTTACACAAAACAGGTGGTCGCAAGTGGACTCCCTCGAGAGCTAGGGGGTCGCAAAAGTCCCAAAAATGTTCGAACGTGATGGTTGACCCTGCGCCAAAGGCCTCCGGATACTGATGAAGAAGCAATGGCAATATAGGAGCTACATATTTTGTGGAGAGCATTAATAGGCAGAGATGTAGAATGCACTGGTAGCATGAGCAAATGAGCCATGGGATTTTGTTTCTTTCAAGTTAGCGACCTCTTTAAAACTCCTTCACATGGAAAAAAATTATCTTTATCTTCATATGATTTGAGGCGCGCTACTCAGGCACTTTCTCTTACCTAATGTTGATGTTCCCATGAGAAAACCGCACACGGGTAATCATGCTTGTGTTATAGTGACGATAAAATTTCTTTATGGTGTCACTATCCATAAGTGGTCCCCCAGCCGAAAATTCGATCAGGGAGGAATGATACTGCTTGAACAATACCTTTTAATGCCAACTGAACAGCAGTTCCATAGAATTTCGACCGCATCTGCCTGCTTTTCTCTGTTCTTCTTTGAGAGTTCATTATACCACCATAAGATTCTGTTTTTTTTTGAGAATGGCTACTGCTCTAGTAATCCTTCTGAAGGCGAGAGCATGCGTGCCAGCGAGGTGTGGTACGATCAGGACATTGGTGGAGTAGTTTATCAATTGGATCGGAACGAGACCGTCATGATGTGTCCAAGGTTGGAAGAATGGTTGGAAGAGAACCGTTAAGTCAACGGCTACTAATTGAAAGCGATTTGCCATTTTTCAACTTGTCGATATTGTCAGCCGCAGTGAATTTTTCTGTTTCTGTGTTGTGCAATTGTTGGCAAATTCAGTAGCTATCTATTGTCTTTTCTAGAGCATTTGCGCCAAATAAAATGTTGAGACGCACTGTTATTTCCGCTGATGCATCTCTGGTCATTCGATTCTCCTAGGACCTGATGTGGCTGCTAGACCAGGGATAACGGCTTTTTGTGCTTCATAAAATTTAAGGTCTACTTGTTCTTTTAGCTTCTGCACCGAAATTGAAAACAGACACATTCCAGAAAAGCTTCCCAGTTTTTTCTCTTGTCGATTCTTTCCTTCAAAAGGATGGGAGCTCGGAAGCGAAGAGAAGTGTCTCTCCCATTCCATCCTCCACCTTGAAGGTGGATAAGGTGGTATGTTGAGATATTGTGAATTGAAGAAGGTGTTCTTATATCAAGTATAGAGGTGTCTGGGCAAGCAGAGGCACGAAAAAAACCATGCTGGAAAGGGCCGGAACTCGAGGCTAATGGCTAGTGTGTTCCTCTCGGAATGCTCTTTTTTTCATGAATTGGAGAATCGAAGCCCATTTGATGAAATGGGTTCATTCGCATTCCTTCAAAGGCAGGTACCGGTTCCATGGGAGTTTTTGGGGTTTTTCGATCGATTAAGGCTAGGCTGGCATCATCGGGAACAGACGCGATGCGACTATTTAAATAGAGCTAGCCGGGTTTCACACCGACTGACCTCATTGTGTGGGAAACAAGAGCTGATTTTTGTGACTGATAACTGCAGTGGAGTGGTAGTAATATCGGATGGGACAAAACGTGGGAATGTTCCCGTTATACTTATGTTTACGAGATGCTTTGCAGTGCTTTTCTTGTGTTGATAGGGCGGCCTTCGCATCGTCGCCGTCAGTCAATTATCCGCCCGACACACCGCCCTTCATTCGTCTTGGCCCGCTTCTCTGATGAATTAGATAGCCTGCACTCGGCTGCTTCCAGTAACTTCCATGATTCGTATAAAGAAGTTCATGTCTGAAAGCATTTCGATTTTGATTTGTTGCGATTTTGATCCATTTATTTACTTGTTTTGATAAATTTAATAGTTATAGGAGTTTCATATGAGCAAAATTAAGGGTCTGTATGATCAAAGGAGGGGGAGTGCAATTAACAGAATAGCCTGCTTTGTACTAATGAGAGGGGTGGGGCCATATTAGTTTGTATGGATTGTGGTAAAATCAATTGAGGAGTGTCGAGGAGGTACGGGGCGGGTTGACCAATTCCATTGTGTGGAAAGGAAACTACCCTCTTTCAAAAAACGAGAAGAGCGTCGGGTGCAGACCATACACCACAAGTGACGACGGCCTTCACAAAATGTAAATGTTTTCTGCCAATGAAATGATTAGCCTGTTGCAGTTGTATTCTCTATCAGTTGTCACTAATTACAACTATCATTTACCAAAAATCAGCTATCACTATGAACCACTACTAACCAGATTTACTTGGAGGCCGTCGTCACTTGTGGTGTATGGTCTGCACCCGACTTTTCTCGTTTTTTGAAGAGGGAGGGTACGTTAGTTTTGTTCTTCGTAATTGTAGTAGGATAAAATGTTTGTCAAGGTTCCATTACGTTGGCCATTCTGAACTAGATTCACTTCCACCCCCCCCCCCTTAGTGACATAGACCTCAAACTAACCATCCGTCGGCGTTTCTACAGCTGTAAGTGTTTCTATCTACAATTTTCGCCTGTGAAAAGATCTTCTCTCCATGGCATGGGCACCCACGCGTTCACGCACAACTATTGTTATAACCGTCGGCGCGACGCGCGCTTGATTGTTACAAGCTTTACACAATTTTATTATACGCAATGAGATAATTATGCTAGCAGATGTTCAGCAATAATTATTCCTTTAAGAAATTTTGTTGGCAAAAAATAAAATAAATACTAAACCAATACTAGCTAACTAAAAATAAATAAACGTAGGGGTATTATCCAGTCAGAGGAGGCGCGGGCATTGTGGTTCATACTGCATGAAGTAATCCACTTTTTTCAGGGAGGGAAGCTCCGGAGTGGGTGTAAAAGTTTAAGCGAAATGGTTCACGCACCCCGGGGATTCCCTCCCTTGCAAAAATTGGAATTTCTGTAGCCGACAAGAACTGTCACACCACATGCCCCCCCCCCCTTACTGGATTAGACCCAAAATAGTATTCTAGTGTACGGCCCTTACCATTAATGCGATTGGTTTCACATGTGTGAACAAGAAAAATCTGTAAACTATTACGTTTTCTCTTTACACCGTGTTTTACAACGTGTTTATGTTCTCGCTTAAGTGTAATAACCGCAACGCGACCGCGTGCTTGATCGCCATATGTTTTACACAAGTTACGAATGTGCGAGTACTTTTGGCGTGTGTGAAGCATGAAAATATTCAGAGTCGATCAGCCTCGTCTGAGTGGCGCAATGCATTCTGCTGCCATTCAGATTAGTAGAGGCATTTTATTGCTTCACATGAATACTGTCTTGAACAAAATTTTCGTCCCAGGCAGGGCTCGAACCCGCACCTATCGCTTACCGGGCAAGCGCCCTAAATGTTACGCTTTTATTGCGATTTGGCCCGTTCAAAGTCACTTGGGGCAGCTGATGTGTAGACCAGCGTTTTTATCCTCCCACACGAGCCGGATACCGTCAAAATTATCCAAGTCCGGAGGCATGAAAGGCTTGCTCGACCCGAACGGGATCTGATCCGGGATCGATCGCGGAACCTCGCGTGTGGAAAGCGGCGCCACTTGGCGCTACCCTACTTCGGCTCTCCTCCCTCGTCACATCCGCATGATAGGGTGATAACCTTTCACTTTAGGTTAATTTAGGTTGGCAGGTTTTAAATAATTAGATCAGATATTTGAGATGCTGATTGTTCAGTTTTTTTTTCATTGGGTGGTGTTGTATGTCTGAGATCATTGATATGTCTGCCGTTTTTTCCATTTTGAACCAATGCTGCCACGCCTATCAGTGAATCATCACTGATAAGTGTAGGCTAGGCTTCCTATATGCTGACTAAGACCTTTTATCAGCGCTAAAATGGTTTGATAATGAAAATTATATGGTTCAAAATTTTCTAGGGTGATTGCAGGATGCCGACTTTTGAGCAAAACACTGCTTAAGCCGGGGTTTAAACCCTGACCGCCTTGCTTACTGGGCAAGGGTAATAGCATAGCGCAATCTGGGCCATGTTGCACTCTCGGCTTTTGTTTCTGTGGTGATATTTTGACCCCGCTACATTCACAAGCTTGCCTACAAGTCCACGAAAGGCAAGTGATCGAGGTGAAGCGTGCTATATTGGCGCCGACTTCATTCCAATCTGGCTGGCTTCTAGGTAACCTGCTTATCTGATTATCACAGCCATGTGAACAAGTTGAGCTAATGAGGTGAGGGCATAATTTTACTGTTGTTATTTACCTGGTCGCATCCTCCTGTCAGTTTGTTCACAACCTCCTCTCTCCCGTTTTTCTGGTTTGGACGCGCAGTTTCTCTTTTCCCTCTCCTTATGCCTTAGAAATCCTTGAGCGATTCTTTGCTGATTTCTCACCATAACGACCGGCGTGTGCGCACAGCCGAGGAGGCGGTAAAAGGCCGGCCTGCTTTAAGTTTCCACTCACGCAAAAACGTCGCCGTCCGTTATGGGTTAAGGGAACAAACGCTGGAGGTTGTACAGCTGTTAAAAGATAAACGCCATTGCTTTATCTCAGGCTTAGGCTTCGAATCTTGTCATGGGCCATTCCTATCTGACTACTTTCAAAATTGAAAGGTACAAACATTAAAAATTATCCCGTTTTGCTACCATGGCCTTAACGTTCAAGTTGTCCGAAAGCACAGTTAAAGGTGAGCTAAATGGAATGTTACGAATGTCCTCAAATGGAGCAGACATCGTAGACGAGGGGATATTAGGTCACCATCTTGACCCAAGGAACCTTTAGTGAAAACTCCTCTATGGCCAGAAACGCGCGAGCTCACCTTGTCTACGTATCGGCTCGTGTACACTTTCTCTCACTTCGTCTTTCTGTGCCTCCTTGTCGTTTGCTCGTCGTGCGCCCGTGGTTATTTAAAGCATTTTCGGCGCTTTTTTCCATTTTTTCTTTACTAGCTGTCCATTTTGCACCTGTGTTTTCATTTTCGAGCCTAGTAAGTGCGCTGATACAATCGTTAAACGGCTGTTGAAAACTGTCATCCAGTTGTTATTGCGCTTCTCAAGAATTTGCCTTCTCTTGCAAAATGTGCTGGTTTTGTTTCTGAAGTGCTATGAACTCTTCTAGATTGTTGCCGTTCGCCCTTGACACAAAATTTGTTTGTCACGTCTCGAATAGCTGTGTAACGTCTGCGTGTGGAAATCGCGGGCAATCAGTGTTTCAGTGATGCTTTCAGTTTTTCATCTTTCCCAAGATTGCTGAGTAAATTAAAGGTCAAATAAAGGATTGAACCTCACTCGGACCAATAAACCTTGCTCTCTTTCCTCTCCACGGTCGGTCAATGTGGACCATATCCGTCTGGAGAGTAAAGGACGGACGTATGCGTCGGCCACCGCAGGTAGAGGCCATAGAGCATTCATAGTGCACAATGATTCTGAATGGAAGTGAGATGCGTGGCGCATCAAGGGCCGACCTGAGCCAATAGTTTTTCCTCTTGTTATTCTCGCCACTAGACTTAACTTCACTACATGAATATGACTGTCAACGTCAGCGGTAGACAACTGTTATGTGCGGTTTTTCTATGGATAGAGTTAGGAGCAGGGCTTTGGCAAGGATGTCGCAGACCGACTTTTTCGTGGGACGAGCATCGTAGCGGCTGTAATTATGAGGTCTAAAGTTCAGTCTTCCATGTTTTATCTTACAGGTCAATTTCAAGAGCTGTCGAGTGAAAGAATCATGCAGATAAATGTAATTTCGGTTTTTTCATCAATCTCTGAAATACGCCGTGCACTCGACTCCCGTTTGAAATGATTGTGGTGTTTGAGTTCGTATCTGTCCTACTTTTCACCCTTTTGTCTGCATTCTTCCCGTTTCGCCTGTGCTTTGATCGCATTCCGGCGGACTGTAGGAGAATGGAGCAGTGCCTCCGCTCACTACCTGCCTTTGCCATTTCATGAACTTGAAGACGGATGATGAACAATATTGATCAATATCTTTATTGTATGCGCCACGCATTAGTCTTGCGGTTTAGTACTTGGTTGTTCGGCGAGAATGAGTCCTGATTTGGGTCAGGGACATGGCCAACCGAGCGTTATACCAAGTTCAACGGGGGTCGTACTTTACGGGGATCTAGTGGGGTCACATTTTCGTTTTTCTGCGTTGGTGATGGTTACAGTGGGGTCGTATATGTGTGATTTTAAGGCGGGTTGTATGGGCACAGTGGAGGAAGATAAGGGAATATTTCAACATTTTCGGAGCGGCGAAATAAGCACTGCAAAAGTATGGAATTACGTGATAGTTTGGTAGCATTCTCGTGTTGCTTCACCGCTCCACCTCTTCTGATGATGGGTTTGGGGATGTAGGCGCGAGGGGGTCAATGTGGGCGGACCTCTCTCTAAGGGTGATGGTGGGGAGTCGTATCGGGGTTTTAGAAATCTTTGATCTTTGAAAATTGGAACAACGGACGGCTGACTGTGATCGAGGACTTTCAGCGTAGCACGCACTCATGACGGGCTTTCGCACTCACACCCTCAGGAGTTCGATACTCACAAAGTGTCCATGAAGGGAAAAATTACCCTGCTGCTCGGCCCCGGATGGAATTCTCATTCCGCTTCTCAGTTGCTTCAAAAGTTGTGAACAAGAAATAATTGCCAGTGACAGGTATTACTTGGAGCCAAATATGCATAACTGAGTGTTCGATGGTTTTTTTGGTCATTCTACTGTTGGTTAAATTTCCTTCAACGGTTTGAACTGTTGTGGGGCTTGTATCTCAGTTCAGTTCGGCTTATCGCTTTCATGTCTTGCTATGTTTGGCTAGTGTTAGTTCATTGCCCTTCAATCTTCTTGCACCACATGAATTCTTAGAATTGATAATGCAATTGTAACGGAAAACCTTGCGCCTTTCAGAAAAGGCGGAATATCGATCGGTTGCCTTTTCGGATGTCTCATTCCTGTATGAATCATCCCTTTGTGTTCTTTTGATAATCAGCCCTTTTCAGAACATCTTTTGGGGCCATTCGGCTGGTGTCTGTCTCCGCATCTCGTGGAAAGGAACGAAGCTACTGCCTACAATTGACAAGGTATTTATTCAATTTTTGCCTTTGTTCAATAATACCAATTATAATATTATGATAATTAGATAAAGATAAAGATATTATGATAAAAAAAATACATAAGGCGCTGCTCTTCGGAATTTTGGACTCAGCGAGTTATTTATAATATGATTAAAATTATTATGATGATTTGAATATTGTTGGATTTATTGTTTTATTTTAGAGCGAATTATTTGCATGATTGCGGATGGAAACAGGTTTAATAAATATCAGTATTGAGCCAAAGAGTGAACTATGTACTTTGAAGGGGGAAATTGGTGTTTTTCCCTCAAAGAGGTCATATGCCCACTTTGTCAACTTTAATATTTTGGTCTCGGAAAATCTTTTTTTTCCTTCTTTTTTCTGGACTCGATTTGATGTTCAACGAGGTTGCGTCGAGGATGAGATTATCCAGGGTTGAGCGCTTTGGAAGGGCTTTAATAAGACGGGTTTCTGTGCGGATAAAAAGGTTTATATTCTCTCACAAGTGTACATGCATAGTTCTGCTTCTTGTTATTGTGAAAGGTACCGTTGTTTCTGTCGATCTCCATTAAAAATGTAGATCATTTATTCAATCTCGGTAGATAAAATCCGACGTAGCGAAAGCTGCGGTAAAAATTGTATTTTTCCTATTCTTCCGCATGGAGGCGTTACCAAATTTCATCTTGGAGGGAGTGTGTTTGGACGCAAAGGTAACACGTTACATATCTTGCCGAAGAGCCTTTCATATACTCGCTAACTATTATGCTTGATTGGAGTACGACAGATTACTGAGGACTGTTCTTTTGATTATATGCAGAGGTTTGAAAGCACATTTATTTAGTGTCCATGTCCGACTCTCGGTAAATCTTGGCATTGCGGCAGTTACTTTCAGCGAGGTTTTTTGAGCCGCACCAAGATATTGTGAACTTTCATTCGGCTAACGTTTCGGCCCTATCGCCTTCGTCGGAGCCTGGAAGCCAAAGATAAAAAAAGCCGCATTTTATCTTTGGCTTTCCAGGCTCCGACGAAGGCGATAAGACCGAAACGTTAGCTGATAAAAGGTTCATAATATCTTGGTTGCGGCACAAGAAACCTCGCTGAACTTATTTATTACTATTATTTATTTATTAACTCATTTATGCGTTTTGTCAGTGTTCCATCTGTCACAATTTTCCGCTTTTCCAAGCTTTTTTTCTCTATTAAAAACTTACACAACTGAGGGCAAAAAAGGTTCCCGTGCGGGTTCCCTAGTGTCTGTCTGCTGACTCATCACCGTGGACTTTCGCGCCTTCCCAATCTTATCTGTTGAAAGGTAACGACGCACGAAAGTTCTGAAATAGGCTCAAGTGAGCCGATGTCGTAAGAGCTATTGCTTTTTTGGTCTCGTTTCTCTTCGACTGGTGAAGACTTTTTGTGGTCTTTTCCAGTTTTGTGTTCTTTTTTCTCACATTCAGCAAGGACTTTTTATTTTTGTTTGTATTGTTTATGGCTTCACGTGGTTGTGTAATATTTTATGCGGGTGGATATGTAGTACTTTCCCCACATCGATGTGTCAGAAGGTTGAAAGGGGTTGGGTAGTTTCGATGGTATGCTCTGAAGATTGTGCATGGCGCAATGTGCCTCCGGGGGGAGGGGGGGGGGGGCAGTCTGTCGGAAGGCCACTAGGACTAAGCCTAACGCAGAGGGACGAATTCCGGAGCGAATGAAAATGCTTACGCAGCTCGGATTCCCTCTTCTCCAAAGCTTAGTCCCAAAACTGAAAGTTTTCGTGAATCTGACGCAATGTTACAGGTTGCCCCCCGCAGCTACACAGCCTAGTTCACTAGTAATTCAGTTCTGACAAACAAAACCAGGTTTTCTTGTGTTATTAATGCCATTTTTCGCGGCAGGTCACGAATCGGAGTGCTATCACAAGATGCTGAGCTATGGGCCACGTATTGGGGACCAAACTTGCTGGTGTACTAGTGCTGCGATGGCACTTTGGAATTCTTTCTCCTTCCAAAATCAGTTTTAACTACATATTACCTATTAGGAATTATTCCAAAAAACACTAGCAATTTCGAAGTAATCGTCTTTAGTCTTCACAATGTCATTCAGACGCTTAATGAGTGCCCGGCATGCGGCAAGCAGCCACTGTTCATCAATCTCGTCGCAGGATTTCAATAGCGCTTTTCAAGAGGGCAAAATTGGTAGCTGCAGAAGCGAGCCTTTCTCTCCAAGATGGCTCATAATGAAAAATCCATCGGATTGAGAAGCAGTGAAATGGAGGCATTTTCGTCGAGATTCAATGAGTTGCAGTTATTTTGACTTGAAGGCAGCGAGTACGATAATTCGTGAGAGGATTCAGAGAGAGCGAGGTGGACGTATAAACGAGTTCACCGCAAGCGTTTGGTGGCACCATGCCAAACCGCTCCAATCGAGTTGCTCCAGTTGTGCCGCTGCTGGCAACGCAGCTCGTCCAAATCACCAACTAAACTAGTGGGCGGATCGCTTTTGGGGCGGAGCGCTTTCGAAGTCCTGCTCAGCAACCAGCGCACCTTTCGTCGTGAAAGCGCCACACTCGCTTCCCTTGGCAGCCAGTAACTGCTTCATATGTGGCCGCACACGATTCGCCGATGACGCTTCCTCTTGATTCGGTTAATCGCTTCCTTTTATCGTACTTTTACCAATGCACCATAAACGACGAATGGCCCTTCAGCACTCTATGTAATCGCATTTTTGCTGTATGAGGGAGCAAAGTGCGTTTTGTCCTACTCTTGCATTTGTACATTTGGACTCTCTTGAAACAGTGCAGTCAAGGCCAACGATGAAACTGACGGCTTAAGCTAGAAGTCCTATCCCTAGCCTTCGTCGAACGTCTAGAGAACTGTTGTGTGTAGAGGCTAGAAGTAGCCATTCTAGAAAGGGTTAGTGCCTCTCTGAACTTCATGTTTGATAAATATTATTCGGGTTAGATTTTTTTGAAGTTTTTTTGAAGTTAATCACGAAGTTGCATCGAAATATTAGTGAGCCAGAAGTTTCGCCTAACCCTGAGTGATTCATGGTTTATTATTGGTTATAAAAAGAAAAACAAAGCCAGTAACATCCAGTGAAGCTCTGTTTTTAGTAGTGTTTTTTGACCATATTTCCGCAAATTTGTGATAATTCAGCCCATTAGGGGCTGCAATGTTGGAGGGTTACAATCCAAGTTATTAGCTGATCACAAGTTACTGTGCTTCCAACTGGTGGGTAACCCTCCTCTTACAGTGCCGTCTGGTGCTTGTGCAGCCTGCCTCCAAAGTGACTTTTTTGAAAGGCTATGTTGTTTTCTGGGTTACCTTCAGCTACCACTTAGCCTAAAACCACTTACTTATTGTTCTTCTCTTCCTGATCGAATTATTCTATTCCCTACTCTCTTCTTATTATTTGGAAGTCGATTACGAAACCATGTTTACCCTTACGGACCACTGCCAGGTTTCTTCAACCTTTTTCGCCGAAATTGCCAGCCAGTACTTAATCATTCATACTTATCGGCTCCTTACTCCTCTTCCCATACCCCACGCATTGCCCAAACCATAGCTGTACATATACAGGGGGGGGGGCCAAAAAAAAAGACATTTTGCCTCCACTTCCAGATGGATTTAAGCACATTTTACTCAACTCAGACCGAACGGTTCCAACTTATTATTAAAGAGTGCATTCCATTCTATAAGAAAATCTTCATAGTGGCCACGTACGTGGACGGCATCAGAAGAATTAGCCCTGGAAACATGGTGCACTGGTCGATCTCAATGGGGTCTTCGAAGGATCGTGTACCATAACGACCCTTACTGGAAAGCTAGTTCCGAGGGGATTTGCACAGTGGTAGCTAATGCCTCTAGAAAACTATCCAACATTAAATCGATTCACGAAATTGCGTAAGAGCTTCAGGCTGAAGCTCTTACGGTAGACCTCCTTGAGCCTGACGACGGTGACAGATGACGTCATATTCTGAAGACGGTGAGGGCAGTGAAGGAGAGCCTGCGTACACTAATAGAGGAACACTTAGGGAATACTCTGCTGAGGAACTCCCGTCAACGACAGCAATCTCTGCGAAGAAAAAAGAGCCGAAGTCCGACATAGGCAAAATGTCTTTTTTTTGGCCCCCCCCTGTATATTCCAACGCTTTGGTTTGCCTTCCGCGGTACCCTCATCCCGAGCCCGTTTCTTCCGGTTGCGTTTACCGAATCGTTTCGTCCCATTCAATTAAATTCAATTACAAATCGCACCTTATCGCCCTCATCTTGGCATTGAGGCGAGTTTTAGTCCAAGCAACGTGGGTGAAGGCCCAGGGCGACGAAAAAGGAATGATTGGCATCTGAATGTGTGTTGACACGGATTTTGCCCTGTTTTTAGTCAGAACTGGTTTGTTCCATGAAAGGGGAGTTGTGACAAGGCAAAAACGCCCCGCACTGTAGTGTTGCGGGCGATCAAAGCTTCGGACTGGAACCAGCACCTTATTCTTGCCTTGTTCTGTGAACTTATTAAGTCCCAAGCGAACCAGCCGGCGGTTCCCTTGCCGGCTACTCCACCACAAATTACCACTAGTCAGAACTGGTTCCTAGATTTGACCTTAAGCTGGTTCCCCCTGCATCCGCTAATATGAGATTTTGATTTTATGCATTGGTCTTCTACAGCTTTGGTAGTTGTGGCTTTAAAAGCGCTCAAATCGGCTATTGGAGGCCTGCCATCCCCTACGCTAGATGTACGGCATAAAAGCAGCCTCTAAGAGGGAGATTGGAGATTTTGAGGGAAGATAATTTTCAAGTAATTTTCACCCTGATATAATGCAGTGGCATCTGGTCCTTACCTGACCTGCCTGTTCCACGAGGGTGTCGGTATACTCGTGTCCCGAAGTTCAGGCAGGCTTCCCATTGCACCTATAGTAGTGCTATGGGCACCATTGCCGACTGGTGCAGGTAAGGTACCTGGATTACACTCAAAGTCACCCAAGTTTTGAGAGGTCTTCCTTAGTTCCTCGTTAGAGGGTCAGCAGTGCTAATTTTCCCTCGTGCGGCTATCTCTTCGAATGCAGGAAAAGGAATAGGGTTGCAGGAGTCCTTCTATACTGTAGTAGTTTTTAATAGTTTCGTGAAGATAATAGGGCTACCGTCCTCACTTGACTAACCACAGTGTTTTCTATTGTTAGTTTCTTTATAGGCGCGTCAACTGCACGCATGAATAAATAAATAAATAAAAATAAAATATATTGTTTGTGTGCTGGCTGTACCGTATTCACTAAGGGGACCGTTCGAAGCATTCAAAGAAAGTAGGTTATGGGACTATCGTGAACGATGAGTGGACTAGTTTTGTGGATCTTCCATAAAGTTTCTTCTTCAACTTCCGTCATAACAACTTTTTCTCTCAACCCAGAGGAATTTATGTAGTGCTCTATATCGTATACTGGATTTTGGGTTTTCAGTCCAGTAAAGGTTACCACTTACTCGTTGCTCGGCTTAACCGTCCATGGGAGACGGTCAAAGAGGCGGGAGACTTCAGAGTAGGCGGACCCTCTTAGCTTATTAGCACTTTGTATCGAAAATTGCCTGACAATAGCGTGTTATAGACGGCCAATCAGAACAGTCTTTATTTTTCTGAAGGCGATCAGCAAGTTTACAGGAAAAATTGACACTTTTACAGTGGCGTGGTTACTGCCTTTAAGTTTGCGATGATTTTCTACACTAAAGAGTTATTCGCCTTGGACATCAATTTTCTATTTTTGAATAGTTGTGAAAAGGTTTAATTTTTCAACCACTCTCTCAGACTTTAGATCTTCTTCCTTTTCTGTTTACTAATTTAAATTTGTTTTCTCTTTTGTTTGTTTTTGTTTTTTGTTTTCCCATGTTTCTCCCACTTAATTCTTACTCAAGAGTTCTGTCTTTTCATACTCTTCATATCTAAAAATTGTCTTCACTCTCTGAAGCGCAGATGTTTCTGGTTTCTGGAACAGGCGAATGCAGTACATTTGTGGATATTTGTTGTTATTGGGGAGGAGGGAAGGGAGGGGTGGGGGGGGGGGGGGGGGTGAAAGAGATAATAAGAGTTTGAACATTCAATTAGTCAGGGGAGGGCGGTCTCACGCAAGTTTCTGGGGGTTGTAAAAATGACTTTTTGCACGAGTGCACGCAATAGCTATGTTTTCTAGAAGTCTCTGGCTCTCGCACTTGATGAACAGTATTTTTTAGAAATCTCTTTGTGCCCATTGTGGGAAATTTGAGAGTTTTCGCTTTCACTTTTTTCTACCAGCCAAAAAATTATTCTGCCAAATGCTGTACTTCAGATTTATGTATTGATATTCTTCTATTCTTAGTAGGTGCGGTAGATGCACTCATTTTTTACTGCCCGATACTGCCGATACGTCTGTTGGACCTTTTCTAGACCACTGACGGTATTGAGTGTTTCCGCCCTGGAATCTATATTCACATTCTTTTCTCCTTATGAGTTCTCGTAATTTCTGACCTCAACGACCAGCGCCTTAGGTTCAGACATTTTAACTTCACCCTTTCAGTGTGAGATACCAACAACATTTGGGTGGAAGTTCATTCCTATTGGAATTGCAAATGGGCGAAATCAGGGAGGTAGAGGTGAAGCGAGAAGTCGTGTGGTTAAAGAGGTGGTACTCGTGGAGGTAAACATCGTTTCCCCGTGTTGTACGTGTTTACGTCTCGGTCTGACACCCTCTTGTTGGTTGATGGTGGAGTTCATCTGTGACCTCATTTTTGTAGTCCTCCCCGCCGTTTTCATCCTCATTCTACACAGTCCTCTTGTCTTATCGCGATCAGCTCATAACTGAGGCTCCCTAACTTGATTCTTTGATGCATGTCATAGCGCATGTGTTGTGCGTGATTCAATGGTCCTCAAGCATCGATGGCCAATCTTGTCGGATAGTTCGTCCCCAGAAACTTTTACCAGCAGAGTTAGCCCTTTTCTCAAAATTCTTCAGTGAGGGAAGGTTCTCCATACGCCCCGCCATCCCCGTTTCCATAGTATTATATTTTCTACTGAGATGGATGACTCACTTCATCTACGTCCCAATTTTACTGACAGAGCTGCCGTCGATCGAGGAGGTAGGTAGGAGGTAGAGGTACGGCTAAGTCCCAATCCATGCATTTTGTGAGAGTTGTGAAAAATAGTTTGAAAGGCCCTTCCCCCCCCCCATCCACTCCACCAACGCGACTTCTCAACTTCTACCAACTCGACCCTATCTGAAAATCTCAAATCCCCACTTACAGCTAATACCTGCGCAAGGACCTGAAATGTGACCCCGCTTGTGAATATTTTATGGAACTGATGCTGTTTCCAGGTGATTATCTCTAGGTTAGTAGCTATCTGTTGTGGTAAACCCGTTCCCGATGTTAGAACGCCACTCTTTACATAATGTCGCCCGCGGTGTTTCCATCGCCAACGTTACGACAGCTTTTTGCGTGGAACGTCCCAAACACTTGACCCATCTCGGGTTCTATCGTTGCCTACTTTTCAGTGAGCATAACATACAGGAACTTCTGCGAAATATTTTTTTTATCATTAATGGTCACTTCACTCATCTGAACCAACACGTCTTGCCCTAAAGAGAACTTGGCCACGCCCTCGCCACGCCCCTCAAGTCGGGCGCGCTTCTTCGCACTGTGCATGCGTCACCTTTCCGTAATTAAATTCTTTTTGTAAGCCTGGTAATGCCCTGCTTAATTCTTTTCTCTGTTCACTGTGGTGTAGCAGAATGCTCTTAGGCGGCCTTAGATCCTGCTGTTGGTTCATTCAGCCTCTTTGATTTGTTTTCCTAATCAAATCAAGAGGGTGCCACCAGCAGAACGACGAGCAAAACACTTTACCTCGACTGGATCAAAAGGTTACTTAGCTCTTTAGCCTTTCAACTTGTTTTGCAAATCAAATTAGAAGGGTTTACTTAACACTCACTTCACTTTAATTCGCTTCACATATAAACGTTAAAAGGCAGTTAGTAGGCTGAAATGACAGACTTTTTGACTTGTTTTTTATTGGATAACTGCTGTTTTACGCTGCTGCGAATATTATCACAAGAATGCTGATTTGTAGACAAAACTTCCGCCCAGCCGGTATTCGTACCCGGATTTTTGCTTTTCGGTTGGCCTGGGCTCACGTGCAACCGCCTACAGCTTTATGCTGACCACTCAGCCGTTGTTTTTTCGTGTGTTTCTGTTCTATTTTTGTAAACTCACAGTTTGAATATATGCTAATTGTTTTCTTCGTTCCGTCGTCTCTCCTAGTTCTTTCCCCTTGGAAACTGGACGAGGTGGACGTGATTAAGTACAAGGAGCTCTAGAAATGAATCGCGGCAACTCGGACTTACGCGGTGTTACAAACAAATTCTAATGGAGCGGGAGGTATCGGTTTGACTGTCTGGGCCTAGCTAATTTCAGTACTGTGCTCCAATTAAACAATGTCAATTTTTCCTGTAGACGCCCTTTCCTGCGCCTTTTTAAATCCTGACAGTTTGAAAAGAAAAAACTCACTGGAGAGTTCCAGTCTTGTGCATCTGAGAACAAGTAGATCTACTACCTTAAGGGTAGTGAGGCAGAGTCAGCCGTGCGTTCGCACTATTCAAACGAAAGGGTCCGCAGTCGGTTTTGGGAAGGGTGGGGGGTCTCAGGGGTTGAGTAGGATTAGTGATTTGTTGAGTGAATAGTGAGGCGTTAGATTGGTTTTTTTTTGAGGGTTTGAGGGATTCAGTGGATGTGATTGGCAGGAGGGAATTACCGGTTAAATTGCATCACCATACCCCCCCCCCCGCCCACGGCTGATTCTGGTAAGAGAAGTGTGTCGTGTCGGTCTGTGTCGACTGGTCTCAGAATCAAGTCCTATAGAAACAGCCATAATGGCGAGGGTGTTAGTTGGGGAAGAAAGAAGGGTGGTGGAGGGGGTCGCATTGAGGGACCCCTAAAGGAGGGAGGTCTCGAAATTCCCTGAAAGTAAGTGCGAACCTCACGGTGCTCCTGTTGGAGGTAAGTTTCGGGGAGGGCCTAGTGTAGAGTGGCCGGAAGAGTGATAGAGCGGTAGAGGTCAGTTAGTTATGGAAGAGGGAGGGTGAAGGCAATTATTTAAGCTTCTACTATTCCACTTGTGAGGGGAAAGCAAGGGTAACCCCAGGAAACAGTGAAATCTTCCTTATGAAGTCTATCGTTGTATGTACGCGTAAAGGCACCTTACTGGAGAAGGAAAACACGAGGGAGCACGTTGTAAGAGAAGGCTCAGACGTCAAGTATGCCGCGGTAGTAGCGGTAGGGAAATGTAGGACCATTATGGCGCACTTTCGAGACAATGTCGGCACCTCTTTGCTTGGGGAACCTGCTACTTCACTCAGGGAGAGGATTTTTCTAGGGGTCCAATCGCCTTGTGCCTTAATCCCAGATCTCTTTGCAGCATCAAAGAGTATCAAATCTGTTATGACTTAGGGGTCTTCTGTTGGGATCCCTAGGGCAGGGTAGTTGATTCGATAGAAACCTCATGATGCGATTTTTAGACAGCTAATCTGCGTGCGTGCGATACGCCGAACACCACTAAACGGCGCATAAATCGTTTTAAAGGCAGATAATCCACTAGGCTTTCCCTGTTTTCGCAGCCCAGGATTGTGCGGTTAGCATAAATAAGGGCACGGAATTTGGCGGAGCTTTGGGCAGTGGTCGACGGGCTAGTATTTCCTCTGAGCCGGTCGTTGGGCTTCACAAAATGGCCTCCATGGCAACCGGTGAGTCCTCGTTTCCGTGGCCGACCTATTAGTTCAGATTTTCGCTTTCACCTGGCGTTATCTGAGGTTTTCGTTTTCGTCGCTATAAAGTTTTTCGTGAAATGGCCATAAAGAGCTTCGAAGTGTCAAGTTATGTCCTTTTGGAGCACTGATAGCGTTACGTAGCCCCAGAAAGGTTTTCTTATGCGCATTCGTGGAAGAACGCTCGGCCATTTCGGCCTCCTCTACTTATTCGACAACTTTCTCCCTCTTCCCTTCAAACCGATGTATTTATATTTATTATTTATCAATTCAACGATTTCTGTCATCTCCCGAGGCGGCACTTACTGAGGAATGTTTCTTTGTTGTTCTTTTCTTAGTTCATAGCTCCTATTTTGTGTTTACCTCTATGTTTATGTTTACTTTTTATAATATTTACACATTTCCCAGTGGAGAAGGCTTAGACCACACTATGTTGTTTCTTTGGCCGTTCCCCGTAGCAGTTTTTCGGAGGTAATCGCCAGCTTTTTCCGATCTGTCTTAATTTTCCAAGCACTTCGACTCGGAGCCTGCCGCTGTTTTACCCTACCCAGGTTTACCTTGACTAGCCACGCTGCCCCTCCCACATATGGTCAGGCATCCGTTGAGAACGATATAGCCTCTCTCATTTTTTCCCTTTTCTCCTTTTTTCCGTTCCTATCGCCCTTACCTCCCAAACTGCTGCCCTAATGGCTCTGAAGATCATAAAAATAACGCCGATAATATTTTGATAACTTCCCTGTGCGACCACCTCGCCAGTAGTTTTAAAGGAAATCTCATGCCATTTAGCACCTTCTGAGCGCTCAAAATCG